TTCTAATTTCTAAATCGCGTTAATTTTTTGATTTTTTACAAGAAATAAGCAATAATCTGGAACTATTAAGCTTTCAGAAAATGTACGGTTTATGGGGATGTTTGTTAAAAGCGAAAGCGCTAGCGCCGATCAACGCGGGGAGGGTACTTGAGGGTGGATGATACCTTAATTCAAAACATGTGACCAAGAAACGACGGGCTATGGGGACGAGAATGGAAGTGACAATTCATCTGAATTCATTGACACCTCATGATCATAACACAACGCAATACTCCTGGTAAAAAAAGCATTGACTGGACAAGCCAGTTGTGCAAGAAAAAGAACAGAAAATTTAATCGGCTAATCTCACAGATATTCGGGCAGTGAAAGGCCCTTTGGTGTAGTTTAAGAATAGAGTAAACTGCTTGTGTAGAGAGCTCTAGATCTGCAAATAAACTCAAACGTTTCCTGTGAAACTTGTAAGTATCGGAAAAATTAACGCCCCATACAAGATCCGCCATCTTTAACTTACTTAATACTTAGTTTACTTAAAACTAGGGATTCGACAGTGTCGGTCAAAATTCCTTGAATTTCAGAGAAACTAGTTCGTGAATTATCTTTGAATTCAATGGATCCATAAAAAGACCTTGAACTTCTGCAAGAGTCCTAGAAAAGTCCTCGAATTTTCCCAAACTTTTATTTGGCAAAATAAGGTTGAGATGCTAGGCACAAATGATTCCGTTTTTCTATTTAAAAACTATGTCGGTTAGCTTTCTACAAAAATACTAGCGTAGCCAAAGTGACCAGCATTGCATGTACTAGAAATACGTATCTTGCAAACCCTCGGGAAACTTGAGGTTTCTGACAAGCCTTGCCGGTCGCAGTTTGAAACTGGTTTAGCCTGCCTAGAATGGCGGTTTTGGTCGGGTGCGCAAACAAGCCAAGGTGGGGCGGTGAAACTGCGAGGAGATTGGGGCGGGAGCAGTGTCGCCGCTCGTTCGCGCGCGCTTTTGCGGCTTCGCTGCTCAGTAGTGTGCCCGACAAAACCGCCATCAGGCTACGCTGGCTTAAACTGGTTAGGAGAGTTGGACCCTTGCGCGTCTCACAGAATCGTCATTTTGTGCCTTTTGTCTTAAGTGTTGTTGGAAGTCCTTTCTGCTACAAATTTTGCCTGGAAAGTGTGCCTTTAAATCCCTGCAATCATTACGGTTTTCCAAGAAACAAGACGAGACCTTGCAGAAAAAACCGGCAAAACCGGTCCTTGAAGACTTAAAAATTTCTTGACGGAAAATTACTTGAAAAATGATCTTTAAAATTTCCTGTGCGAAATTAAACTCCCGCAATCTTTAATCACATGCACTGTGCAGTGCTAGTAATCTTCGCGCGAGAGAGACAAGAAGAAAAATCTCTGTTGGCCACACGGTAGCTCTGTCGAAAATTTGGTCAACGGCTTGCCCATTTTTGCCAGTCATTTTGACATTTGTTGTCGTCTTTGTTTATGTTTTCTTCGTTCATCGAGAGTGGCAAATTTCGGCGAAATAACAGTGAAATTGATCAAAACATCACCTGCCGCGATGATAATACCAAATATCTTCTGAACGCACGGCTCTTTTCCGTTTTGCCTTTTCATCCTTTTATCGTCTAACTGTGTAAATAGACATATTTAAATAATATAAAACACAATTCTAGTTTGGAAGTCAAGTCTTTTCTATGCTCAGACAATTCGAAACATCGGCGAAAACCGCCTTCCAAACCCTGACCCGACTAATCTATTAGTCAGCAGATCATAAATAATAGAATAATTTCATTCTATTAGTTTGTTATGTATATAAATATATCCCTAGTAGAACTTATTTGCGATGGTGATCAGGATAAAAAGTGAAGCATAAATATTCACAAAATTCAGCTCAAAAAAATAAAATAAAAGGTTCCTTTAACTTTATAATTTTCGCGCGTCTTTAATTCGCAAAAACAGAAAAATAATTGAGGTACGCGGTTTTGCCATTGTACACCTTATTCCCTGACCCCAGGGCCCTGTTGCAAAGTTTTCACAAAATAAACACACAAAATAGTTGAAAAAAAATTCAATTTAAAGGCTTTTAGCTACGCGAAAATGTTTAAGACGCCGACAGAAACAGTCCACGATTAAGTACCGTCGTAGGCTACATGCAGTTTGCATCCTTATTGTGAAACCGGATACCGGAACTACACCGAAAAATTTGAATAGATAAAGCTACGCGTTCTGCGAAACGAGAAATTTTAAAAATATAGTACATGCAAAATTTAGTGAGGTGAATTGGCTGGATTTCCACATCATACCCTCGTGTTGTCTTTGTTCCTCCCCGACAAGACTCGGGAATTTGAGCTGAAGAAGCTAAGGAGTAGCGGGAGATCATTTCCAAAAACAGCGTCTGGTAAACGAGCCTATAGCCGCGTTTGTGGTAAAGAGATTAGGGATCTTAAGACTGAGACACCGAAGAACACGTTTGCCACGTAGTTATACAAAAGGCAACCATGGTAATTCAATCCCAAATGTGATAATGGCATCACCGTTCTACCTGGTAGCCTAGCCGTTTCTATAGGGTGAGAGGCAATCTCGCCGTATTTACGGCTGCGCGTACGGGTAATTTACTCCTAACCGTACACGGAAACGGTGTATATTGAGGTCTCTATAAAGCGAACAACTCTTTGGGTGCGAAACCGGTCCGCTCTAACAACCAGCAGTATCGGAATAGTAGGTGTCCAATTCCCCTGAACCAAATTTTAGGGTTTGACGTGTTCTTTTTTAGCTATGTAATTTAGACGCGCAATAGTTCGGTTGGGTTGACGTTTTTCTTGAAGTCCCGATAAAATCCCTGAAATAATTTGTAGTACGTGCTCTGCTTACGGATATTAATAACTGGTGGCTAAAAACGCCCCCTTCTGTCGTTTCTGTTTTTAAATACCAAGCCTGACTCCTTTTCCGAAAGTTATCATAATTAACGGAGGATGTCACAGTGTTTTGGTTTTAGCCTACACCCACACTTGGCACACGCATACAATACAAACTTCAATTTATAGTCTCATCACCGTCTTCTTTGATTTAATCTTCTCTTTTCAAAAGACAAATTGCCTCTAGCCGCCGCCTACGATCCACCATCCCAACCGGCTTTGACGACCACTTTTAAAAGAGGTTATTAAATTAAAGCCAACGTCTGTAAACGCATACACCGTTCACCGAGTTTGTAAAGGCGCTGGCACAGCCGGAGAGTTGGACCGGTCGAGGGTACGTTTAAAGTCTTTGTTTGATGGTAGATTTATATGCGAGGTGTTCATTAACCAGGGGCACCGAACAACTGTTTACTGAAATGTCTTTTCGAAGAAGCAAGTATTGCCTACAGGTTTTACAGCACAAGAAAGGCTAAAAATTTCTGGCTATTCGGAGTTTTTCTAATTAACCACCCTAAGCTAGATTTTCGGAAGTAGTTTTTAAGCAAATTATTATTTTTTCCCAAGATTTGGCGATTTTTGCTAAAAAAGGTCACCTCCTAAAATTTTTTAATGAAAGTATAGTTTCTCCATTCCCTCGCAGTTTCGATAAGACCCGCGGGGTTCGAGACAGCCACTAGTTCCCTTAAAGCATCCGAACAGACAGATACAGGAGCCCATCAATAGTATTTATGGCAGCTTCAAATTAACAAAACAGCTTCTGAAACATAAAGAAAACCATTTTGGACATTTCTGGTCGCTGTGCTTCTGATTATTCTGCGGAAAGAAACCACAGTAAATCGATTGTAATTATCTGCAAGTTTATGCGAAATTATTACAGGAAGTCAAAGCAAATGAATAAGAAATGGCGACAGTAATATAGATATATCTTCAAGTAGATTTGTATTTCTGCAGTTTCTCTGATCTTCATTCTATATGTTTCATTCCTTTTCACGGGTTAAGATGAACTAAACAAATTGGCATTCTCTAAATGTATAGGTTTTCAAAGCTCAGTTGGTAGAGCACCGCAGCGCTAACGAACGGGCCAGGGTTTCGAATCCTTTGCAGCTCTCTTTTCGGGTTTCATTTGCAATTGCTTAAATTGCGATTGGCATCGCGATGGTCCTTCTCTGTAAGCTTCTGTAGGTCAGCCAGGAACGTTTTTGACTTCGGGTAGACCGTGTAGGAATTAGACAAATCCATGATACAACTTGCACCCGTATTAAATTCCACCGCCATGCTGTAAATGTCTTGATTAAAGCTGCGTAACATCCAGTGTTATTCAGTGTTTTAATTTTATTCCATAAAGGTCTGAAAAGTCACTCCCCAAAGCTGATATTGCAGACTAATTTCATAGCCTAGTTACCAGTGTCTCCTATCAGGAGAGCCGAAAGAGGCTGGAAACGAAGTATACAATATGCAGTTGAACTGACATATAGCCTTCCATGCAGGGATGAAAGACAAGCTCCCCTAAAAACGCCTGCGTGGGAGACTAACTGGCATACTGACCACTTCAGTTATTTTTGACGTCTCATCTCCTTAAAAAAAGAAAAACAAAAGGGAAAAAAAGAAACCCTAAGGTTGATATTAATTTAGATGGGTAATTTAGCTGTTGGCCGTCGTTGTCTGAATTAATACCTGGTCAATTACTGTATTTCCAATTTTTCTTCGACTAACTATTTATTGGCCTTAAATGCGACACCTGTCACCTGCATACACTTTTATGAAAGATAAATTGAATATTTCAAAATTCTAACTGCCATCATTTGCAGTTCCAGGGAACGCTTTTTCGCCAGTCAATCTGCCATCATGAACCGCCAACTGTAAGTGGCCAACGTCAGTCGACAGAAGAAAAGAAATGATAATTATTATAATAATGAATAAAAAGCAACACTGAACAGAATAACGATTAATTTGAAATGCGGATGTTAATTGACACACCTGCCACAAGCTCTGAAACCTTAATTGTCGAAGCAGGTAGTTACTAGCAAAGTTTGCCTTCCCTTCGTCTTGGAGCAGTGTACAGATAAGGAGATTGTACTCAGACGAACGCGATGTCATTGCCTAACGACACGAATGCCACAGACGAGGATGATGACCCTCAATATGAAGAACCCCCTCCACTGCGTATTTTTCGTCTTGCCTTGTTTTCCTTGATTATCTTGGCCAGCCTAATCGGTAACTCGGTAGTTTGCAAAGCGGTATGGAGTATGCCTTCCCGAAAGCCGTTTTCATACCATCTTGTTGCCAATATGGCCTTTGCAGAAATCATCAGCTCTCTGTGTTTGCCTGTCATGATGGTGTTCGGTTTTGAAGACGGACGCGAGATTGAGATCGTCCACGATATCAATTGCATTGTAAATCCCATCCAAGTTCTTTCAATGATGGTAGTAACTTATTCGCTGGCCGCTCTCGCATTACACCGGTACCGAGTTCTCATCAACCCAGTTGCAAGAACTCTGTCGATTAAACTGAAACTTGCAACATTTTTTTGTCTGTGGTTACTGCCCACAGTTGTTTGTATCCCCTTGTTCCTCTCGTTTACGTTTGGATCCAGCGTTGGAAGTACCTTAACTTACGAACTTGTGAGATTCGTCCTAAATTTCGTCCTACCCTCCTTGGTCATGGTGACATCTTACGCAGCTGTAGCGTGGAACCTAAGACAGAGAATCGGCCGAAAGGCAGCCGAGGCAAGGGGCTCGATCATTCCATCATCGCATACCGCTGAAGTCGATATTGATGAGCCGGTAGAACTTCATGCATTGAAAAACAACAAGGAGGGAGAAGAAGAACAGCAACAAGCTTGCCAAACCGCCCCAAGAGTGTTGGTCGCCGTAGATAACTGCAGATGTGTTAAGAAAGAAAACTCCACTGACGCCGAACAAGATTTACTGAAGATGATATTTGTGATAATCCTGATCTTTGTGTTTTGTTATTTTCCTTATCAAGTAGTCTTTTGTGGGAAACATTAGCTGAATAAGCGACTGGCAATTTCGGCATCACAGTTTGATGCGAATATACCTGTTTATTTTAACTTGTGTGCCAAGTGCTTTGCATCCTGTGTGTTACGGAACAATGAACAGTTTTTATGCTAAGGCATTCTCGAAGATTTTCCTGTGTAAACCCTAGCTGAACTGATGCTTTACGGAAATTGCTATAATGGGTCAGAGATACTAGAATGAATGTCGGCAGGGGCACCCAACGGCTGTTTTCAGTAAAATATCCGTGTTTGGAGAAGCAAATATTGCCTAGAATTTTCTATTACTTGAGGACAGCTAAAAATTCCTAGATGACCGTTCCATTCATGTACAATTTTCCAAGCTCATGTAATAAATTCCCTACGATTTTCTCAAGTTTAATATTTCGCATTTCACTGCCCAGGTTAGGCTATTTTTCGTAGAAAAAAGGAAACCTAAAATTTTAGAATTTAAAAAGGCGATGGAGAGAGGAATCAGAAAATGTCTCACTTTCGTAACACGTCAAATTGCATCTAAAATTTTCGGGAAAATAATACCCAAGCCCTTGTAATTTCGAAGAGACTCAAGTTGATCTAGGATGATTTTATGGCGCCGCTTAGGATGCATTTCTAACTTGAGTACTCTGGATAGCCTAAAATTCTCAATGTATTTAGGAGGAAACTGTCGTTTGGTGCTCCTTTGTCGGCTCCTTGAGAATCTGGATCGTACTAAAACTTAGTAATAAAAATGACAAGGTTTCGTTCTTGCTGTTAGTTACCACGCGTACATGGCCGTTTTTCGTCGAATAATGGCAAGTAGTTGGCTGCGCGCCGAGAAATAGAAAATATATTTAAAATTTTATATAAGCCTTGTTTTCTACGCGTCAGTCTTACATGCATGCCTTTCAGGGATTCAGGGACGCCATCCGATCTCAATATAGGAAGTTACCACCACTCCCAAAAGACGGCCTGAGAATTACCTGTTTTCAATTAAAATTGATTTTTACTTCCCTTATCCGACTCTAAGTCTTCCTTTCCACTTGATGCTCCAAGCATAAATTAAAATGAGTTAGTTTTTATTTGATTTTTATGACGGCAATTATTCATCAGCAGAAGTTTGTGGAAGCCGTGTCTGAGAAGTGTGCGAGAGCTTCAGTGTAGTTATCTTGCGAGAACAGACACTCAGTTTTTTAGGCATAGGTCGCACTTGGGAAAAGTTTTCATCTTCGCCGGCTAAAAAACCACGAAAATTCGAAACCGCAACCGGAAAAGAAAACTTTTAGTCAAACCGAGGAGGGTCGCACTAGTATTTACTAGTGGGAGTTATTTGTCGTTGTTTTGACACATTGAGAACTAAAGTAGGCCAGATACCAGAGAACATTATCTCTTCGTAGTCCGATCATTTGGCGTAGGATCGTTTTCCTCCTTTCCCAGTTTCAGGAGGATGGGAGAAATAAAGAAAATATAGTGCTTGGCTGCAAAGACTGCATTTAGCTCGGAGAATAACAAACCTGTGACGGTGCCTGGGTAGACTATAATTGGCCCGCCTTTAGAGAGTTCCCGTAAAAACGTTGAAATAGCGAAGGATTACAAGCTTATGAATTGCTCGCCCGTAGAAAGTTTTCGCAAAAACGTTAAAATGGCGAAAAGTAGTGGTAGCCTCGTCCGTCCACAACGAAAACGCGAAGGTCAGAAAATTTCAACGATTGATCGTGTTTCAAATTGGTCACGTTTCGCTGACAAGTGCTGACACTTCCCGCCGTGATTCCTATTGTTTAGCTCAAGTTTTCCAAAATCTGTCTGCCCCACCCAAGCACTACGGCGTCTTTGATGTTTTTCGCGATTCTCAAAGTTTTTTCCAACTTGAAAACTTGGGGTCGCACTTGGCAATGTGTCCCGATGACAGATTTTTACCGCAAGGTAAACAAATTCTTCCAGAAATTTGCCAAGTGCGACCCATGCCTTAGTCACCTTTTAAGATCTTTTAACGATAAAAACTGAAGTGTTCTTTCGTAAATCTGGTCTCAATTAAAAAAAGACCGAAACGAGAGCACAGCATTCGCACTCCAACATTCGCTGGGGCACTTAATTTTTAGTGACTTGGAAAAAAGAAGAAAGTTAGGTGAGCGTTTTAAAATTATGAAACTTCAAGCAGCTCGAATTCGTTTGCTCAACAAGTATCACGTTTTTAGTGTTCGCCCGGTTCAGTTGATTTCTGTGATATGAATGTATGCAGGTGTGTAGGGTAGGGTCGTGTCATTTTTTTGTAAGGTTTTTTATTTTGTCTTTTTGCTTGTGCTATATATTATATTGGCACAAAATGTACATAAAAGAAACATGTGTTGATTCAGAATCGCTGACATCTGATCACTGTTCAACATTGCTGACCTACAAATATTGCAACTGTTTATTTAGTTGAACAATACGTTTATCATTTTCTGTATGTTTGGATAGTTCACTCAACATGTCAGAGAACTTTGTTTAATAACAGTCAGTACAAGTCTTCAGCCAGGTCGAATGTGTACTTTATTCGTTCAACAAGTTGCAGCCTGAAAATCGCTCAATAATTTGCCTGCAGGTGAGAAACACCGGCATGGTGAAAGATATTGACAGTGTATCATTCGCTTTGTTCAAGTAATATCTAGCTATGTCGTAAGATAATGATAGGAGGAATAAAAATTTTAGGATGAGGCCTTAGTCTGTTGACTTTTTACAAGATGTAAGCAGTTAACTTGAATAATAATTGTAATTTACATTTATATAGCGCAAACCTCTATTATGAATATATTTGGTTGCGCTTTACAATATTGTGGTATTAAATTTATGTTAAAGGTGACTAAAGCGTGAGAAAATATTAAAAACTACAATAAAAAGTCTTATTGTAATATGACGAAACACCCTCCCGTACAGAGCTGATTGCCTACTCGGAATAGCCAATTTAAAGAATCATGATTGGAGACTACTGCAAATGTACATTTTATTCACAATTCAAACGTACAAAGCAAATAATTTTAAAACATATATTTTGTTACAAGATTCAGAAATAAGTTACATAACTGTAAGGGAAACAAAATACAAGTTGCTGATAAGGAAATGCCTAGTGCCAAAAATTAACCTAATACAAATGAGTTCTGTAACGATAAGGTTGGCCTGCGAGTTTACACTTCGTAGTTTTTTGGGGACACGAGTTCGCTGTCGGTAAAATTATTGAGACTTCACTTAGTATACTGAACGGCCCAAAAATTGGAAATGTTTCTACAGCTAGTTTTTTAGGCCGATTCACTTAAGATGTTATAAACCAGGTGTAAAGTAAGGTAGATCAGACACTGAAATGTTAATGAAGGTAGGAAAAAGTTTAAATATGCTGTTGGAGGCTGACAGGAGGAACTTAGGAAAAAAGGCGCAATATTCAGTTTGGGAGTTAACTTCCTCTGAGAAAGACAGGAACTATCGCGGAACAAAAATAGAAGGAGAATGATAAAAAATTTCACGAACGAACTTCTTGAAATGCCAAAAAAAAAAAAAAATGAGTTGATGTGCATATGGAATTTCAAACTGCATTTTTAATATCAGGGATTATTTATTCATTCTTTTAAACATAGAATAAACACTGACTATTTTAAAAAAACCAAAAAAGCGTGTTAATGAGCGATGCCATTGTCACAAGCCAATTTGAAGAAAAATTCAAGTAGACAAGAGGATATGATATATTCTGTTGAAACCACTTTGAATTTACGATGCTGTCGAGACTTTTAAGGGGAAGTTAGTTTTAGAGGTACTATCTCGACCTTTTGTCCAAAAGAAAAAAGAAAGTTTGGCAGATGCAATACTTAAGTGCATATCTAATTCCATACTTGAAAAAGAGCCACAATTTATTTTCCTTAAAGACGAACTGAACTTTACAATTATTAAAAAGTATTTCAAAAAATTTCAGATTACTTGTGTAAATCGCCCTTATAACGAGTAGACAATTGTATTACTTCTTACTTGTGATCCGAGAAAGGGAATACATGCGCTAATTCTATTTCGCCCTCGCTCTCTCAGCCACGCGGATTGTTCTTTAGCAAGCGAAAAGAAAATGATGAATAGAGTCCAATCACAAGTTTTTTAAACCTATTACGTGCATTCTAGTCAGTATCGAAAAATATTGTCGGCAACCCCAAAGAACCTTCTCAGCAGGGGTTTAGTCGATTGCCTTATTGCTGGAAGACCTGGAAGACTTCTGATAATCCCGCGATCTGCTGGGAGATCATCCAAGGGGGCAAAGAGTTCAATGTAATTAATATTCAAACTTCTCGAAACTTCGCAGGTGGGCGAAATTATGAAAGCTCATTGCCTAATTGGAGCCGAATTGGAGAGTGTTAATATCCTTTCAAAACTCATTAATGATTCATAAGCTTGTTGGCCTATCAAATGGTCGATAATACATCGCGTGTAGTGACATTATATAAAGGACTTTAAGATCCAGCAACGCGACGACAATGAGAACTTCGCTTAAAAAGTAAATTTGCGTTCTTTCAGTTTTAATAGCGATTATTCCTACCCACTTACTTTTTCAAATGTAGGCGAACCCTCCTGAAGCTGAATTTCAAATGACCATATTCAAGCTCAGAAAGAGAGAAAATTTCGTCGTTGATTGTTTACGTCCTCCATAAAACGCGAAATAAGGCATTTTTACGTCGTGGTCATGCGAAAACTGGGAAGAAGTGTACAAAAAAGCGTGATACAAGTGCGAAGTTGTTGTTTTGCTTTGTGAACCTATTGATTTTTGGACCTTCTCATTGCAGTCCGCGTCGTTAGATCCTAAGGAGGCGCAAACCTATTTATAGGCGCGTTGGTTATGTTTTAAAATCGCGTTTTTCGGCAGGAAAGATTTGACCGATTTCTATGATTTTTGGCATCCTTAATAAAGAATGGTCGAACTTTAAGAAACTGGATTTATTTTCTTGTAGATATAAAAACGTTTGAGGTATCAGCGTAAGTTTAAAACCGCATTTTGAAAAAATGTCGATAACT